AGGTCGTCTTCCGGACAGACTTTCCTATTTCCAAAATCTTGAGAAAACCCGACTTGGCAGGACGAAAGGTGGGATGGGCGGTCGAATTTTCTGAGTTCGGCCTGCGTTACGAGCCGAGAGGATCAATTAAGGGCCAACACTTGGCCGATTTTGTAGCTGAGTTGCCCTTAGCGGTCAATGATGAATGGAACCTATACGTCGACGGCGCGTCATGGCGGTCTGTGAGTGGGGCTAGTATAGTGCTAGAAGGCCCGAACGGATTCTTGCTAGAGCATTCGTTGGTCTTCAAGTTCAAAGCCTCCAACAACCAGGCGGAGTATGAAGCTCTGGTGGCCGGCTTGGAGCTAGCAAGGGATATGGGAGCTCGGAAGGTTGTGTGCCGGACCGATTCCCAGCTTGTTGTGGGACAGATGAATGGTAAGTTCCAGGTGAAGGAGGAACAACTCCTCCGATATTTCCATAGATCAATTGCCATAACAAAATTCTTTGATCAGGTCAGCATCCAGCACATCCCTCGCGAGGATAACACGCGGGCGGACATGTTATCAAAATTAAGCTCGGGGAAAGAAAAAGGGCAGTTGACGACGATCATACACCACTTATTGTTGCAACCGTCGGTCAAATGCCTGGCGGTGTCAAAGGGTGAAGTCGGGGATTGGCAAGCGCAGATTCGAGCATTAATGGCCCAACAAAATACCGACCAATCGATTAAGTCGGCGGACGCCAAGATGATTGTCCGCTACCTTATGGTAGGGGACGACCTGTATCGGAGAGGGTTCTCCACCCCTCTCCTTAAGTGTCTCGGGAAGGAAGAAGTGCATTATGTCATGAACGAGCTCCATAATGGAATCTGCATATTCCACACCGATCGTCGAGCTCTAAAGACTCGGGTACTATGGGTCGAATACTACTGGCCAACCATGGAGGAGGACACTAAGGTCTTCGCTCAGAATTGCCTTAGCTGTCAGGCCCACGCCAACAACACGCACACACCATCGTACACCTTGCACAACATGACGTCACCCTGGCCGTTCGCGCAATGGGGGATGGACATAGTCGGCCCGTTCCCAACAGGCTTGGCGCATAAGAAGTTCATCCTTGTGGCGATCGACTACTTCACCAAATGGGTGGAGGCTGAACCCTTGGCTGAATCCTTAAATAGCGATTAAAGCCATTGGGCTAGAATTGGGCCGTGATTAACTTTTCACTAATCCCAAGCCCAAGGCGAAAACTATAAATACAGCTCAAAGGTAAGTGGTAGATAGGTTGCATTTACTGCACATTTATTATTGTTCTA